ACCTAGAACTTCACCTGACCTTGCTGGCTGAAATCGAGGGAACCTCCTGGTGCCCTGGCATTTCTCTTTTCAGGTCCATCTGTGAAAATGGCACTGTGCCACTGCTTACAAGGTGAGGTGCAAGTTTCAACAGTGCACAGGAAGCAAACCCAGGGCAGGCAGCAGCCCCTCAGAACAGGAACTAGAGCTATGCACCGCCAGGACAAATCACACAATGGCTTTTTCTTTGCTAATTAATAGCAAGCAGATAGTATTATAAAGATAAATGGGTAATGCAGTAAGATGGTTGAGAGATTTGAGAGTAGATATATACATCTCTGTCTCTAGATTATGAGATCAAATCCTGTTCATATCAGTTACATCCAAAAAAAAAAAAAAAGTGAAAATTGGAAGACCTGGATCTTATTCTCAGGCTTTCTATTTGATTTCATACAATATATCCACCTGTTTCTGCCCTCCTGTCTTCATTCTGCAGAAATAGAATTCCACTCAGAAGTTTTGTAAAACACTTTAGATAAGCAAAGAGGAAATCATGGATATAGGCATGATTCACCATTTTCTGAAGTCAAAGGGAAGCTTCTCAATTATTTAAATTATTTTGAATAGTTATATTGTGCATGAAAACTACACCAGACAAAAACTATTTAGGCCAGTATCTTTCAAACAACTACATACACGCTGAAGTTACTTAGATTTGTGGAGTTGCACATCTAGACAAAAATTTGCAGGATTAGGATTAGGTAGACATCTTTCAAAGGGCAAGCCCTGAGGCTACGAAAGCCAAAGCTTAGTGAAAAGTCTGTGTAAAAGTCCTCACTCTTGCTATGCTGTTACTGCCTGCTAAAAATGTTTTTCACCAGTTAATGGGAAATGAGTAATTTTTCATAACTAAAGATTCCTTTCCGATGGAGAAATCCAAGGAAGAACACTGATCTCTGTTGCCCTGATCACATTTCCTGAAACACTCAAGTATTGAAGTATCCAGTACGGTCAAGAAAGCTGCAGTATCTATTTCTCACTGGACTCTTACCACATTTGTTGTGCTGCCATGCTCTCATCTATCGTTCGTGACTATTTGTCACAGAAAGTTACGTGCCAAATAATACATCAAAAATATCTGAGCTGACTTAAGTGCACGTTATTTTTCTTGTGTATTTTCATGGCTATTGAAAGTTGTTAGATCTATGTTCTAGAAAAAAAAAAAAAAGAGTATTCTTCCATGATTTGTGGATATTAGCAAAATAAGTACTCTCTTTCTAGTAATGCAGTTCTTAACTGAGCAGAGGGATCACAACCTCTACAGAGTGGGCTGGTGGGAGTCCATCCTCTCAAGGCTTGAATCTCAAGGTTTGAGCCCAAACCTTGGCCATTCTGACAAGCTTTGCTGAGAGTGCTGACCAGGGGCACAGCACAGCTGCTTCTGAGATGAAGACTCTTAGGCCTACATCAGGACTGTCCATCTCTCTTGCTGACTGCTCATTGTAGGAGACTGAGAGCCTGATTTTTCAGAAGTGCCAAAGCCATAGTGAGGGACAAAACGAGCAGGAGCTGCAAGTCTGAAGTGTTTCAAAGATCTCAACTTCTCCTTACATTAAAAAAAAAAAAAAAAGTAGTATTTTCCCAGTAAAATAGACAGCACCAGACTCTGCGAATCCAAAGCTAAGTTTCATGCTTTAATTTCCCTTCAGTTTTTCTACAGGCTGTCCTAGATGCAATAAGAATAAGCAGAAAATAAAGCCACACTACAAAGGATTACTGCTAATCACTGCTGATCCATTAGAGGGAAGTTTATACAATGTACTAGATACTTCCCTCCTATCTCTTCTAATAATTTCTTTGGATGAAGATGATGAGATAGTATACTCTGCTTGTGATATACTGAATTATTTTATTGACAAATAAAATTGAATATACCAATCAGTGTATTTTCTGCAGGACATTTACTACAACTATTTTGTTATCAAAGGCAAAATACAAAGTGTGTTTTAAGTTTTTTTCTTACATCATATTAGTAGGTATAACTTGGGCTGAGCAGTCATAACCTCTATGTAGATAATTCCTATAATTGTGCTACTTCACACCCAGAATGTGGTTTCCTTCCTAATAGGGAAACAGCAGGACAAGAGACAACCTACATGATATAAATCATCGAAAATCCCCAAATCTGCCAAAGGAACATTGCCAAAGAAAACAAAGGGGGATGACAGTAATCCTCCTGGGAGAATTTCAACCTTCATCTAAATTAAAACTTCAGGTGTACTGAAAGGTTGTGGGTGATTTCCTGTACAGTGATAAGGAGGTTGTTAATTGTCCTGCCTCAAACAGGACTGCAGCCCTCCCTGAACTGTGGCATCCTGTTCTGTGAATTATCCTCTGTGGCCCCGTGGCTGTTTCCGATCCCTCATCTCCGTTATTACCAGAGGATTTATGTCATGCTCTGACCCCATCCTCTAGACTAACTTTTTTTGCCCAAAGGGGACACACATGCTGACACAGGATTTTCTCATGCTAAGTTTTGACTTATTTTAGTCCTGTTTAGAGGCCTTAATCCTGCCCCTTTGGAACTGTGCATCTCCGACAGTGATGAGCCAAGAAACCAGCCTACAGTTCTGATAAACTCCTCTGATAAACTCTAAACTTTTCAAGCACCACTTAAGGACATAAAGTATTTGGATGTCTCTCCTGCATCTGCATTCCCTGATGATACCTGGAGAACACTCATCATGGACTGTCCAGGCTGCTAATATATTCTGTAATGCAGTTAAGCCAGAGTCTGAATAGCCTCCCTGAGTGCACAGCACTAATATTTTTAGTGAAAATTTCTAAGGACGTGGCCAACCTACACCTTTCAGACAGCAGTCAGCTTTCAGGAGCTGCAAGGTCTTAGAGGAGTTTGGGCTTAGTTACATACTGAGAACCACTGCTGCCCTCTGCTGCAGTATTTTGGGTTATGTATCTGACAATCAGTGAAAGCCACAAACATTCAAATAAAATTTCTAGTCTAAACAGAACCTATGTTTCCAAGGGAAACAATGTTTCCATTATTGACAAGATCATTCAAAGGGTCTGTTTCTAATTCATCAGCAAATTCTGATTCTGCAGGGGCTATGTCAAATGGAAAAATTTTTTTATCTCGTTTTGACTCTTTAAAAGAGGCAGACACAAGAGGCTGGACACATTTCATTGCTGCAGCAAAATGTTGTCTCATCTTCTGCTAATAAACAGCCATCAGAAGAGTAAGAACTATGGAGTGAGAAACTAACCTTGGGGCCAAACTGACTGCATCAAGGTTCTGTCCAGGACACGACATCTCTGATAACCTGAACTTTAGCTTAAAGCATTGTGGATGGTCAAGTTCTAGCTCAGTTGCACTAATCTTTCCTTAGTCTTAGTCTATCCAGTTCTGATGATCCCCTCAAAGATCTAGCTTTCTTCCTCACTGATGTTAGGAAGAGTGACATCAGTGCAACCTTGCCATATTCACATCTACTACACAAAGGGCTCCAGATAGAAATACTTTATTTTTTCCCAGCTTTCCACAGATTCCAGTAACCTTCTCTTTTATAATTTTCATCTCCATGAACTCTGAATAGGTTGCATTGCTTGTAGGTTAGAGCTCCTATCTTAAAATAAAACGCTTAAAACAATTTTAGAATTATTTCTAAATTATTCTATGTTTCCCAATATCATAAATTCAATTACCTCTCTCCTGCAGTGCTTCCTGCACTGGAATGCAACTGTGGTGTCACCAACACATAATACTAAATTGCAAAACTTACCAGTAGACAGGAACAGATACACAGATGGTAGCAGGCCAGAAGAAGAAAGCCAGAAACATGTCTTCCTACTCGAGGGAAAACTCTGGCTGTTCTCACTAATTATCTGTGTGGGTCTCTAAAGGAGTTGGAGGCACATTGCAAAGAAGGCACACTAAGACTCTGGCTAATGAAAGAACTGTACTTCCTTCTAGTAGCTGCAGTGACAAGTGCACCGGGTGTCCTCACGTGTTCTGAGTATCTCACTGGTGGCCAGTTAATATTCTGAATACCTCCAGAACTAAACCACTTAATGTAAAACCTGAAACTTCTCATATGAGGGCTGATGCAGACTTCTATCTGTAGTAGATGGGACACAAAGAAGAGAACCTGTAACCTACATTCACTAGCTACTTCCAGCTGCTTTCATTTTTTTAAACATTTTCGGGTTTATTTTCAGTTATTCACTGAAAAGCATACAGCCCAGCTCCAGATCTGAGCTCAAAGCTCATTGAGCAGAGTTTCCTACAGGGAAAAGGTGACAGTTTTGCTCCTCATATCTCAGTGACAAGGTGAGAAGGAAGGTCCCCTGCGTTTTGGCCTCTTAAACATTTCAGTAATGACACAGGGGGATCATGCAAAGTTCAAGGATTCCAGCTCAAAGGGGACTGATGACAGCCATGGGAGATGAAGATCAGTACCAACAATGAAAGATAAACATCTCTAAAAAGATTTAACTGGTTTCATTGAGGACTCCAACTAAGAGTCAGCCAAAGAGGTGGTTCAGATGGCTTCTGCCTTCTCATTTCTGAACATATGATTTACCTCTCCAGCACATTTCTCCCTCTCTCCTTCTCAACACTCAGATCATGTGTAAATCTCATGTTGTAAGCTTCAGGAAACTTACGGTTGCCAAATGTGATTCCAGTTCTCAAATTATTCCTAAAAATGTATCAAATCTGACACAGAATGAAGCAGTGCAATTTGATCTGCAGACTTCGCAGATCACCATGAAAAGAAAAAAACAAACCCCAAAGATCCATAGAAACTCATGCAAGTAATTCCATATCACATACTTTTCCTGATGACTGCAAAACTAAACCACTCTCTCTCTCAAAATAAGCAACTTTGCTCTAAAATCAGCAGAAAAACCTCTCCTATGAGAATTTTTGTATTCCCTGCAGTTGCATGAGGACATAATGGGACATGGCCTAATTCTTAAACTCTAGTTTACAAAACACCTACCTCTAGGACTTTCCCAGTAATGAACTGGTGACATGCTTCACACTTGACTCCAAAAAGCACTTGGTAGTCCTTTTCACAATAAGGAGCACCATCTCTGAAAAAGAAGATCCACAAATTACAAACAACCTTTTAATAAACTGGTTGCAATGTAATTTACACTCTTCCTTTGTCTTCAGTCTGGAACTCCTACACACAGCAACAGGCAAATGAGAGTTCAAGGGAAACAGTTTGAATCAGAAGAAAAACCAAAAAATCTTTCTCACTAGTGCCTCTTAGAATTATTCCTTTAATTCCCATCAAGAAAAGGCATCCAATACAAAACACTAAAATAAATCTCATTATTTAGAGCAGACTCTCTACATCTACAGGTGCAAATACAGGGAATCAGTGGGACTATGTCTATGGGGATGAGAGGAGATCACAGTCTTTATCACAGGCAGGTAGTTTTTGTTCAGAAAAAAAAATAATCTTTGGTAGTTTGCAAGGCTATAAGCAACTACTTTTAAGTTGTAAGCTTATGTAGTTTTTTAGTATGAACATGGAACATTAAGTAAAAGTGGAAACTCTAGTCAGCTTAGGAGTATTTCTCAGATGCCAAATTTTTTTTTTTGAGAAATTACAAATGCTACTTTTTATTAAATAGTGTACATAGCTAGCTGACTGGCAGGTTTGTGAAACATATATTTTTTTCCTTATTTCTTCTCTTGTTATATGCTTGAAGGGGGGAAAGAGACCGTATCTTCATTCCCTCTATTTTATTATTATACCACTTTTCCCCATTCTCTTCCTCTACGCTTTCTTCTGTTCAAAACTCTTATCATCAGTTTCTTATACAGAGATGAGAAATACAGTATCAGGTCAACCACACCATCAAGGTTACTCTATTTTCCAGCAAAGGTAAGAAATGGACAGGTTCCTACTTTTTTCCCCTCAGATTCAGATGTTGAAAAGCAAAATGGCACAACACTTTATCTGGTGAATACAAAAAAACATATGCAGCAACCCACCCAATCCTCTGCAGGAACATGGAGATACACCCCCTTTCACTCTGGTTTTAAATATAGACTGCCATCATTCAACATCACCTTTCAGTTCCACTCGGCAGTTTACTTTCCCAACTCAGCTCTCACTGACAACAAAGATTTTGGTGCATATGGAAAGGAGGTCAAAACAGGATTCTAAAAGGTGAACTTTGCTGCAAGCTCTTCTCTGTTTGCAGCTCGTGCCACGAGTTCAGAAGAGGTGCACAGGTTACTCACTTGCTGATGTATTCCCCGGTGAGGACCTTCCCACAGGCCTTGCACTTAAAGCACCCCAGGTGCCACTGCTTATCCAGAGCTAGCAATGCTTGCCCATTTTTTATGTCTCTTCCACAGCCAGCACAATCTGCAAATAAACAAACAGATGCATTTGTTGTCAGCTCCTTGGTTCATTAACCCTCACTAACCACCCACCCATCACAACACTTGGTAACCAAAGGGGAGAACTACACAGCAAAGGTACACCTTCCTTTCCTCAAAACCTTCCCAGGTCCTGTATAAAGATTCAGTCATACTCAGCAGAAGGGGGAAAGCATCTCTTCTGTTTTTCATGCTGTTTATGGTTCAAAGACTGCCTGGCAAGCACTGTACAGATGTTGGATTTTGTTAGGAACAAACTACAAAAATCATTACTGCAAAAAATTCCCATCTTCTAAAGCAACCTGTTTGTTTGTCATTTCGCTTTTAGCAGGATCCTGACTGCTTACAGGGGGCTGGACGTGGCCCGAGCGAGCACCACCAGGATGCTGCCTGTCCCCGTTTGGTGGCAGCAGAGCCCCACGTGTCCGCCCAGCTCAGGGGCGGTGGCACATCTGAGACAGGAACGGAGGAGAGACCTTTTCCCAGGGAGGGCCCAAGGCACGGGTGACAGGCATATGAGAGCAGTGAAAGGCTGCATGGAAGGGCATATTGTCTTCCACCTGCAGGTCTGGGTAACTGAAGTTCTCGTGGTCTCTAATTGGCAGAAGGACTCCCTCTCAGGAATTTTGGTACTAGTCAACACTAGTCAACCCTCAGTTTTCACTGCGATTCTGAAGGACTCTGATGGCAGAATGCAAACCCGAAGCCAGGAGCACTGAATGCCCTCTGTCCCAGAGGATGCCACAATATCTGATGTTACATGAGAAATCTCTGGCTCAGCCCCAAGCTTCCATTCCTTTCCACTCAAATGTAAAATACTCAGAGATTCCCTGTTAAGGGGCAATCCAGCACAGGGTAAGATTTGAAGAGGCTGATGTGGCAGACAGCGCTGAACTGCAAGGGTTGTGCTACAGCTTCTGTGCCCAGCCTCAGGGGACAGAGGGACCGAGGGAGGGGAAGGCCTGGAAGCCCAGTGAAGCAGAAAGGGAATGCCCATCAGCTGAGGCACACACATGGAAGCCACACAGGAGATCCACAAAGGATTTTCCATATTTTATTATCCCCAAACTCAGTGTTCCTTTGGTTAATCTAGCATCCTCTCTACGTGCCTGAAACATCAACAAATGGCAACAAATGGAGACAAATAGAACAGAGCCTTTGAAGCCCAGGCAGGAGGGAAACGATCATCCTGGCTCCACTGGCTTAAGCTGACTGAACAGGTACAGCCTGAAAACCTTCATCTCCTCGTGGATTTATGGCCCAGGCAACCCCACGCCTTGCAAAAGGGCAAGTCTAAGTTTTATTACCACAACTTGTAAAGAGAGAAGAGTCAGTCCTTTTGACTACACGGCCTGACTTTTGTTTCTTGGATAATGGGCCAAGAGAGCCCCAAATATATGCTGCACATTCCTGCTATCCAGGTCATCATTTTTCATGTCCCTCTTTCTATCAGCATTCTTTTTCTTCTCAAATCCCCTAAAAACAGACAGGAAGAAGATAAGCATCATGGTATCTTGTGATAAAATGTGAGTCACAGACTGTTGACATGACTTGGACTTGAAAAGCAACCCTGAGATGTCCTAATACCAGGACTTTGCTCTAGAGGACATATGTTACAAATTGAAATCATGAAATGACAAGGAGTGACACCATGTAATGGATCCCTCTGCTCTGCTGTGACAGCTCAAGGCTCCATGCCATCCTGTAATGACAGCAAATGCTGGAACAGGTCACTAAGAGAGGCTCTGGAATTCCCAGCACGGGGGTGAGGAAGGGACAAACACGTGTCAGGGTGGCTTTGGTGCACTGCTCTTGGCTTTGGGAGGATACTATATGACCTCTTGAGGTCCCTTCCAGCCCACATTTTCTTATGCTAAATCTAAAGCATGCAACGTGTCTTCAGCTGTGACAACAAATGAGATCTTTCCTCAGTCTCAGTGAGTGCTGAACTGCAGTTTTAAAACAGCACCCATTTCTCAGCTTCCAAGCACTAATGCTTCCTCCCAGTGTGCCAGCTTCCACAGCCCTGACCTGGGGTCCTGCCAAACTGTGATATACATTCCCTGTTACATATCGCCTCAAAAAATATGCTGTGTTGTCCATGCTTTTTTCCATTTTTATCCAAAAAGCTTCCGTGAAGCTGAAATTTCTCAGAAATGGAAGTGATAAAGAGATTTTTAAAGCACTTCATTTTGTTTCCAACTGAATTTCTGAGGCAGTGAGAATAGAAAAACTGCCTCACACAAAAGGTCTACCTAGCCCAGGTATGCCAAAACCATTTACATGAAGGAAGTAGGGATCTGTGAAGTACCTCTGTTTAATTGCTTCTTTGTAAGCCAAAGGCACAGTAAGTCTGAGCACCAGGCTTAATCTTGTGCTCATGTTTAATACAAGGGGTTGGTAACATCCTTTTATTATTCTTTAGCAACAATGACATCTACTTACTCCTTCTGGTTTCCTTGAAGTGTTTTGCAAAAGAAAATTAACATAATTTCCATTCTGCTAATACGACAGACACGTTGACTGTCTAGAATCAAAGTAAACTAATAGCCCGTTTCTGTCGTATTAGGCTGAGATGGCTTTTAAATAAACCTGATTTTAATTCTGGCAAAACTGTTGAGCATATACATGAAAAGCTAGCAATTATCATTATCTCCTAAAATAGAAAGGAAATAGGCCTGGGCTGGGCTAAGAAAAGACCATTTGTTCATCCAAATTCTACAAATAAAAGCTATTATGATCTCAGGCCTGCATGAGGCACATTTAAGCCTTTGGCTGAATGTCATCAGCACACAGGGCATGCAGGCAGGATCTCAGTATCACATTAAGCACAATCTGCATCAATCTAACCTATAACCAAACCAGCACATGCTGCAAATAAAAGGGCCATGAGGTAAAAATAGTGGTCCCCAACCATATGCCAGAGCAGACTAAAAAAATCTGAAAACCCTTCCCAAAATTTTGCATGACGGTTCCCACTATGGTTCTCTCTGGCTTCATACCTGGGTCTAACAGACTGCACTCCTTGACCTTGAGCTTTTCTTTTTGCCATAAAACCTGGATTCTTCCCTGCTCCCATTCCTTGCACATCCATGTATTCAGCTGTGCCGAGATAACGAAGAGGAGGAGGTGGCAAGTGCAGCATATACTGGTTAAAATGCAGAGTGAGCAGCACAGATCCTCTGTGCACTTACATCTGTGTCATATTTGACGTGTCCAGGTACACAAGCAAACGCCTGGACAAAATGGCTGTGGTGTGCAGTCAGCCAGCCCAAAAGCATGGAAAAGTGGGGGGACAGGGTACAGTGCTATAATATGATAAATGATTAAGATTACCACCCTCCAAGCACCTTAAGCAGCCTCACTAAAAAGATGCAGGCCAGAGTGAGCTGCCACCCATGACACCTTGCTTGTAAAGATACGAGAAAATGTGTTTCCCTTTTTAGCATCTGCATCACCCCAGACATCCAGGAGTGAAGCATCCTGCACAGCAACCCATTCGTCACTGTCTAAATTAAGCAGTGGATTTTCTGCCTTTGCCTCCCGCCCCTGCTCTCAGCCAATAGTGCACAGGTGGGCTCAGAGCTGACACAGCTGGATTAACCCTCAGCACACAGCACAGGGTTTTACCCACTCCCACTTAGATAGTTTTGAAAATTTAACAGCAAATGTATCTCCACATTCTCTGCTCACCCCATATAATTTATGAAAGGGAAATCATCTCTACCTGCTTTTGTCCTAATGAACAGGGGTGTGCAAAGTCATGTGAATGATTACACCAACTCTGCTCCATGCAGGGTTTGCCCTGTGAACAGAGCTAATAGCAGTCTGACTTAATGATGAATAATTGAGTCACCAGAAAGTTCCTTGCAATCCTCATGGCCATTAGTAGCACATGTCTAGATAAAGTCTGAAGCTGCCACAACCCCTACGAGTCACTGGGATTTTGTACTCTTTTTACACTCCTCCTGTAACTATTTCCCCTCCCTATAAAACACAGATACATTAGTTTTATAAAGATAACACCACCAGGCTTCTGCTCTGAAACAAGTAAAGCAGGGTAGAATTGTGGGGGGGGTTGTTAATTATTATTTTAATTTTTAAAAGGAACAACAAGTTTTCATTTGAGTTATACAGAAATACATTGTCAAACCTGGCTGGACCTAAAGAGTGAGTGATTTGGAAGTGATGAAAGAGGCAAATATTATCACTGGAGTCAAGGCCAAGAAATCTCTAATTATAAATAGCTCATAATCACCTTGAAAAACAACTTCTATCCCAGTAATTCTTCTGTGGCAATCTGAAGGTTGTGCAATTGCAATTTCTCATAGAGGTAGGAAGACCAGAGTTTTTCCTCAGTCACCCTTTAACCACAGATCAGGTAACGCCTTCTAAAGCCTTGTTTTCAAATTAAAAGGTTTGATGATATCATGCAGGCTTTTCCAGATCATCAAGATATTTCTGTCAACGCTAAAAAAACAAACTCACTATGTTTACAGTATGATAAATGTTAATAAAGTTTAAAGCATAACCATTTAGGCATCAGGGCAGCGATGAGTTCTGGAAGTCAGAGAAGGACACACAATATGGGGAATTTTACATGCAGGATTTAAATCTGAGTATGTAACTCAATAAATCTGCTGCCAACCCCCTCCTCTTTGCCAGTGCAAGGATGGGAAATGTTTTTCAGAACAAATTCACTACTACCCTTTTGCTGAAGGCAAAACAAACCCACGCGGGCAGCCTTGTACTCCTGAAATCTAACAATAAGAGGCTGGGTGCGTACAATGGAGGGAAATAAATTTCCCATGGGAAGTGGAGTATAGCTTTGACAGTTTATTATAAATGACAAGTTGGGGAAAACTGATATTTTAAAAACAAATTGTTAAAGAAAACACAATTATTTTATTTGAATAAATATGGAAAGAAATCACAACGGTACAAACTGGCAATCTGTGCTGGCAACCTGAGTGCCCTTGACTTGCC